TTACTTGGCCTAAACCTTACTTTCAAGAATGTATTACTTCAGCAACAGGTTCAAGAATATGATACTTTTTGAATGTATAAATAATTGCCTTCAAGAAAGTTTATCCGTTACTTCAACAACATTCTGCTTGAGTCCAGATTAGTTAGTTTTTTCTCTGTTAGGTAGCACACTATTACTTCAACAGTACGTACGATTCCTAATTTTACTTATTCAGAAAAATTTCAAGAGTTGGATAGTAAGGAAGATGTAACGGACAACGTTCCTTACTTGGCCTACAGTTTATAGTAAAGAATAAGGACTTATTTCAAGAATATGCCTAACTTCAACAACTCTTTTCAATTGTGTGACTTACTTTAAGAATTATATGAGGTAATTCAAGTAAGGGACAACGTTCCTTACTTGGCCTAAAGTTTCGAATAAAGAATAAGACTTATTTTAAGAAATTGACTTACTTTAATAAATCTTTTAAGAATTCATGACTTACTTGAAGAAGATGTAAGGTAATTGAAGTAAGGGACAAGAAAAGAGCAACTTTTGGAAGGAAAATAGCAACTTTTAGGTATGATGGTCATTTTTAGAGCAACTTTTAGATAGGGAATATAACTTACGTCAACAACTCTTTTCAAGAATATGACTTACTTCAACAATTCTTTTCAAGAATACGTGACCTACTTGAAGAAGATGTAAGATTCTTTTTTTTATGTAAGATGCAAAACTTCTGCTTGATCCCTCAACTTGTTGGCTATAAATTGGTTGGCGGATAGCCTCGACTTATTTCAAGAAGTTATCCTCTTGTCTTACCGAAAATCGCATGTAATAAATTTTAGTCTAATTTTGGTCCATGTACATGTTGAGTTTTATATTTCCTGCTCAATGTAGGCAAATTAAGATTGGTCTTGAATGATATCACGGCCTCTTTTTTTTTTTCAGATTCACGCCCGACGCAGTTGTACAGATTACACGAAATGGAGTATGATGGTTATGTGAATGGTGGGGACTCATCTGATGATTCGGACGACGAGGAGTTCATGTTGGCCTTCGCTGCCTTTATCCTTGCTGGATTGGCCTTATTCGACCCGTACATCAACTCAGGGCAGCGGCGAAGAATTCGAGATGGTGCACAGTCGGGTGCTCAATATGTTATAGAGCTGATAAACGGCCATCGAGACAGAATATTCGACAACCTTTGAATGGAAGCTCCCATTTTCCTCCAATTGTGTGACTTGTTGGTTCAGAGGGGCTATTGGGTGGCCCACCCGACACAACGGGTGGGAATTCATAAGTCCGTTGCTATATGCCTGCTGTGTTTGAATCATAATGAGTGACATAGGGCGCTTGCCGAGAGATTCCAACATTTTCCCGAGACAACGGACTGCCATCTACGACGCTGCCTTAGATCTCTCATTCGATTGGGACGCGACCTGGTCCGACCGGTGGATTATCACATAATCCATCCAAGAATACAGAATAGTGCTTTGTTCTAGCCCTGGTTTAAGATTATGAGCTACTCTATGAAATTACTATTTCATTATGCCTAACAGCTGTGACCAACTTATGGGAAGATTTTTTTTTTATTAGTATTGCGTTGGAACGATTGACGGAACACGCGTTTCGGCCTGGTGTACAGCCGAAGACAGGGAACGTTACCGGAACAGGCATGGTAGCTTATCACAAAACGTTCTAGCCGTGTGTGATCACAACATGAGATTCACTTATGTCAGGGTAGGGTGGAAGGGTAGCGCACACGATTTTAGAATCTTACAAGAAGTCATACAAGATCCTAATTGTGCCTTTCCGTGGCCACCAGCAGGTTAGTCCAGATTAAATCAAATAATTCCTTTCCTCATTGCGTCTTCAATGAGTTTTAAATATAATTTCATTATGCTAGGGAAGTATTACGCGGTGGACGCGACTTACCAGAATATCACAGGACTCATGGCTCCATTTAAAGATGCACGGGGAACCGCGCAAGAGCGGGCAGTGAGGACACTCTTCAACAAACGGCATGCATCGTTAAGAAACATTATAGAACGTACGTTTGGCGTCTTGAAGAAGCGGTTTCCAATATTTAAGGGTCTCATGCAGAAGTATATGATGGCTACTCAAAATAATATTGTCCTGGCTTGTTGTGCCTTGCATAACTTCATGCGCGAGTATGTTCCAAATGACGCATATTTTGTTGAAAAAGAAGCAGATATAGCATTGGCAGATAACATAAATCCCTTCAACCTAATGCCCGCAGCACAAGCTCCAGATATGTTGGCTGCAGGAATTGCTGAATGGAATTAAAGTAGGAGAGCAATAGCCGATATAATGTACTATCATCAACACCAGTAGAACATCTCCTGCCATTATTTGTTCAGATAGTACGCCCAATAAATTGTACACTTATGTCTCATCTATGTATTAAAAAATTGATAATTGTTTAAGTGCAAATGGCATTCAATATTTCAAACACAGAGGGAAAAAAAATTAAATGTTGTTTTTCAAAAACAGTGAATCCATACACGCTTGTTTTTCAAAAACACTCTGTTTTTGAAAAACAACTAATCCAAACAACATTGATTGTTTTCCAAAAAATGAATAGTGCTGTTTTTGTAAAATATCCCCAAAAACAGCATATCCAAATGGAGCCTTGGTTGTTTTTGAAAGACAAAAACAGTTTTTGCAAAAATTGACAATCCAAACAGAGCCTTAGTTATTGTAGTTATAACAATTATTTTTTGTTCATGCTTTCCTCAAATACCCCTTATTAATATTAGATCATTCGTTCAAAGTAAAAGGCATGTATTACTATATTGTTTTTTGAATTTAGAGCACTTTAGTTTCTTAATGCAAGAGTCAATCTAATTCATGTTACATGTTTAACTAAAATGAATAACAAAAATAAAATTGACAAACAATCAAACATTTTAATTTGGAGCCATTAGAAGGCAACAAATATATTCTAAAATCTATAATAATAATGTACATTAAATATGGGTATGTTAGTAAAATAACTAACTAACTACTCTTTAAAAAAAGAAATAGGCTTATAATTTGGGACGGGCACAAAGGAAAGTGAGCCTATTTTTATGGGATAGAGAGAGTATTAAATACTGAGTCTCTATTCCAAAAAAATAGCAAGCTTTTCTCCTTCTCTTTTACTATTTTTTTTCCTTCAACTGCTTTAACAACTTATCTATTGCCTAGTTTTTCTTGGAATTCGAACTTTGACTTCCTCAATAAAATTCCGCCTTGATCTCCAAATATAATTGCTTAAATGTTGGAGAAATATTTATGATCTCTCTTGAAATTTATGATCTCTTTTATCAATTGAATTAGTTTATGCTTCTTTCCTTTTGCCTATGTGTAAAGGCACATAAGTTTCTGTTCTTTTTCTTTCACTTCTTTGTTAAATTTTATTTCATTTTTTTATAGCAGAACTGAAAAGATTCTCGAAATAAAGTCAGAAGGGACAAACAGAGCCAACGTAAAGCAATTTGCATGTAGCACGAGATAATTCTTGTTTTTTGAATAAATGCCTACTTTGGTTGTTGTATTTTATATTAATGAATTAAGGAAAAATTGTTCCAAACACCCCTCACATTTTGTTCAATGAATTTTTTTGTCTTTTACTTTTAAAATATTATTTTTACATCTTTACAAATTTAAATTAGCAAAATTTAGTTCCCGTGGCGACTTTTGATTGCGGCCTTAGGAGGGGTCTAGGGGGCGAAGGAAGGGAGGGGATGAGGAAGGAGGGTGAGAAGGAAAGAGAAGAAGAAGAAGAGGGAGGAGGAGGGAATAAAGAGGAAGAGAAAGGAGGCAAAGGAGAAAGGAAGCGGAGAGAGAAGGGAGGAGGAGGTAACGGGTGGTGGCGATGGGTGATGGTAGTGGTGGTGGGTGGTGTAAACTTTTAAAAAATACCAAAAAAATTGTAAATTCTAAAAATATTCCAAAATACTTTAAAAAAACCTCCTAAAAATATCTCTAAAAACACCGTAAAAAACATTTACACTAAAGTTTTATATATATACAGGTACAGAAAAAAATATTTGAAAAACACCCACAAAAATAACTAATTCAAATAGAACCTTTCTTTTTTTGAAACAAATTCCTGAATCGTTAGTTAGCTAAAAAGAGATAAAGGAAAAAATGTTAGTTGCATGCAGAGCGTTGTAAACACTAAGGGAGTTTTCGTTTTCTCCCAATTCCAAGTGTTTGGAGTGCAAATTGGCCTGTGGATTTAGAGTTGAATTACAATTGTATATGGCCCAGTTTAAACTATTTTTCTTGAGACCTTGAAAAATTAGAAAGTTTTCAAAATGTCATGTTCTCTATTTTATTAATCTTCTTGGGATTAAATAACTTACATTGCACTGAACATCAGGATCACAAGCCTATATATTGTTAATTTTTTTTTAAAAAAAAATTTAACTTGGCAACTTCTCCAAATTTAAAGACTTGTTAATAAGACTAACAATTTTACTTCTTTTTTCATTTGAGATAATATGGGACGGCAAACCATCTAAATTTTTTTTCCTACATCCGTGGAGAAATAACAACAGCCTACTTGTAAGATAAACACTGTGGAGGTGAAGAGACATATTAATTTCATAGTTACTCATCATACGATATCACACGAAATGCGTTCACATAATTTCTGCAGTAATTTAAGAATACATGTATTCATATATAAAAAATTCATTTATCTAATGCTAAGTCAAATAAAAAAGCTGAAATTTCCTCTTATTTCATCCTTAATTTCCTAGTGTTTCTTTCCATAATTTGATGTTGGGAGGAAATTGCTTTATTGAACTGAAACTGTACGTCCCAGGCTTAAGTGAATATGCAAAAGAAATGTCAACCAAAAATATTTCAACCATTAAGTGGAAGAACACATTGATCACTCTCTAGTATACTAGCAGAAGAAATGTCAAGAACACATGGAAACCATATATATTTCAACCAAACATAATGTGTGAAAAAAAAAAAAGAGAAAGAAATTCAGCACTTACTTTGGAGGGTGAATTCTCTGGGAACAGGTGACCGGTTGAATCTGCAGAAATTCCATTTATATGCTGAAGCTACATTAAAAAAAAAACACTTTAAACTAAAAATAAAATAAAATTCAGCACTCACTTGAGCGAAAGTGAAACCTCTGGCAATAGCTGGTGATCTTGTGAATACGCAACAATTCCCAGTATACCATACACCTACCCATACAAAATCAAGTTTAAGAAAGAAAAAAGAACATTCTGATGATTTCAACCAAAATAAATAGAATTCTTATATGCAAGACTTTTTGCATGTGAAATGCTACACTAGGACATCCACAAGAGTGTAATCCATTTGTTGCATCATCATTTTATTATGCCTTTCTTTCATTACAACATCACTCATTACAGATTACACGCTACAAAGTATAATAGCATGAATCCACATCAAATCACACATTTATTTTAGTAATTCACAATACATGTCCCATAAATAAATAAATTTATTTATTTTCTAGAAATAATTTCATTATTTTTGGGAAATAATTTATTAACTTTTAGTGAAATTTTTACATTTCAAAATTTTTATTTTGGAAAAATAATGTTATTAATTCATAAAAGTCACATTATTTTTGGCTCTCAAAATTAATACATTGTTATTTTAAAAAAAATAATTAAGTAATCATTAAACAAATACCACGCTCTATTTAAGTAATTTAACTCCGTTACATAATTTGCATTAGAAGTAATATTACATAATAAATATTAATTTTTATTATCATTGCCTTCGAACCATTCCCAAATATTACAGTTGTAATGATGGAATAGAAGAGTGAGAAATTGAAAAAATATTAATAATATATATAGATAAAATTTTGAGGATTGAAATCTAGAAAATATTACCGCTGCAATGCTGCCTTTATTTTGTTTTACCATTGCAAATTTGACAAAATGGACTGTAAAGCTTTTGAATAAAATGGACAAAATGGGTAAATATTTTGATCATTGAAAGCTTTGAGTATGGGTCCCATGGTGCTGCTTTGAATAATTGGTCAAATGGGCAAAATTTTGATGATTGAAATCTAAAAAAAATATTACCATTCAGTGTTGCCATTATTTATTTATTTATTTTTTTTTTTTGAAGGAAGCCATTATTTTGTTTTACCATTGCGAAATGGACAAAATGGACGTTTTGAAAGCTTTTGAATAAAATGGATAAAATGGGTAATATTTTGACAGTTGAAAGCTTTGAGTATGGGCCCAACAACTTTTGAGTGCCTTTCATTCGTGTAGTACTCGTTATACGCCCACAATGCTATGGAACACAATGCATGGGTGTAATAGAGTGTTTTTCAACTTCTATTGCACCCATTGTGATGCTCTTATAATAGACAAAGTAGTAGTAGTAGTAACAGGAAAATAATAGATACACACACTCCCATTAAAACAATAGTCCCTCTGAGTTTACAGATTTCCAACCCTGAGCTAATTTGCTAAAACTGAAAAGGGTCACTTTCCATGATCCATGGCTGCCATTACACAATTGTGTACAATTAAGTATAGAGGCCACTGGGCTTTTGGTCCAGCCGTCAAAGGCTTGGTGGTGCGGGAGGTTCGACCCATGCCTCTCACAAAAATTTGTCATAATATGTGACGGTTTTCGGTGGTCATTTTCGATAGAGTTTATACTCACATAGGAATCCTATCGTTGCGAAAAAAAAAGTATAGAGATTTCTTTTTTGCATTTCTTCCAATTTCCAATTCTAGGTACACTTGATATATGCACATGATCCATGGCTGACAAACTTTGTATTGTTCCAAAATTATTAACTATGTTTTATGCATCGAACAAGTATTAAATTCTCCTAACCATTACTTGTTTGCATGTCTAAAACTTGGGATAAAAATACCTAAAACTTAGGGGTAAGAAAATAGAATAGCATAAGTTTGGGAGATTTGGTAAGTAAGGGTGTAAACTTTCAATGTGTTATGGTAACTTTTTTTATGTCCAAAAGTGTATTAAATAGCATTTGTTTGGGGCAATTGAGTTGAGACCAATATAGTGATAATCTATTTTATTGGCACATTATTACAAAAAGAGACATTAGTAAAATGACCGGCCGGGCACTAGCTACTCCTCGGGTCAAGGAGCATCCTGACAGATTATAAGGTGTTGGTAAATTATCGTAAATGTATTACAAAACAAAAGTGTAATTAACAAGCATTCTTCTAGGGTTTTAACACGTCAACTAACAATTAATGTATATTATATATATTTTTTCCAAACTTTAGATTTTGTGCCAAATTTGTATTTCAGTAGTTATAAAGAAAGACAAATAAAATGAAGGGTTCATTACACACAAAATTGAGGTTATGGGATGAAGTTAGAATTAGGGTATACATTAGGAGATTAGTTGTAAATTATCCTAAAAAGATCATGTAGGTATATTTTAAAATTTCTTGTCTTAATTGCCAAGAAATAGTACCGAAAATTGTCCTGAAGAAATCATTAGCACATTGGTATAAACTTAGACAGTTTTGGATTGAATCTTATACAAATTTCATTATATAAGTTTACAATTCAAGTTTACACTCATTTTAAACGACTTTATACCAAAAGAGGTAAGAACTACAACAATCAGATTGAACTAAACAACTTCCAAATCTGAGACCCATTTTAAAGAAAAAGTATAGTTAATTTGAAAAAGTATATAAAATACAGGAGGTACAATAATTGTATTCACATGGAAAGTCAGATATAATTTTGGCATGTTAACAAGTATCCATGCCTGTTAGGACAAAAATCCCTATATTTAGACCCAATTCAAACGAGCTTTCGCCATGTAAAGACATTGGTTTTTGGAGAACTTTTAGATGTTATTATAGCAATAAAATTTTATTGAAAAAATTTTCCTTTTAAGATGAATTGAAATTGGAAATTGCTTAAGGATTAACCCAGATCTTCCTAATAAAGGAACCCAAAGCTTACTAAAAAAGGAAAGAAAAAAATAAGCCAGACCCAATAGAAAAGTTGCCAACAGATTATTCTTTGTGGAGTAACAAATGTTTTTAGTTTAAAAAAAAAAAAGTCAAACAGGATTCCAAGAAAAACAAGAAACCATCTATCCAGCTATTAGTAACAGATGTCTTCAAAAACTAAATATATTTCAAAGAGTAACAATAATATGACTTATGGTCCCAGAGTATTACTAATTTCTTAATCGGCTAATTTGGGAAGATTGCGATCATTAGTGAAACAAGAAAGAACTACAAGGATTCTTGCGTGCAATTTTGGGTTGAAGACAGGAGACTTGCTATGAAAAATGAGAATAAATCCTACCAGTGGATTTAGCAGAGTTAGATCATCTTTTCCGACTCCAAAATGAATCAACTCAACCGATGATTCCTTCAACATACAGAATATAAAAACAGCAGAGAAAATGGAATAATTAATCAACTTATTTCCTTTTTCTTTTTTGATTTCCTTGAATTTAAAAATACCTGTTGTTGAAGAGCACCGTAATCGGCTCTGTTTGAAGAAATTGACTGCAGAAGCTCCGGCAACCGGCAGGAACCAGCTTCGCCTCTACCCTAACAAACCGCTGCGTGGGATTTCTTTGAAAAATATACTACTACTGAATGTCTGAGACGAGATAGTTCACAGTAGCAGGCCTTCACTGTGTTGCCCACAAAACAAAAAGCAGAGGTTGTTTTTGCGAAGAATATTTATGCTTTTCACTTTTCTTGCCCCACAAGAATATTGATGCTGTCTTTTGCTTTTCCACATTTCAAACAGAGAGAGGCGGTGGTGCTTTTCAACAAGCCTTTGTCGCGTCCATTACCGAAGAAACACGAGTCGTCTCGTGGGCCTCAGAATAATTAGTGCTATTTGGGCAGGAGGGCAGGACCTTCAAATTTTAAAGGCTTTTTCAATTTCTTATTTAGAAAACACAAATTTCAATTGAGGATATTTTCACTAGAGCTGCAAACGAATCGACACACACGAACTCGAGCTAATAAAGCTGAACTTGACCCTAACTTCGATCTCGAGCTCAAAAATATTAAGTTCGTTAACTTGCGAGTTTGATTATATATATATATATATATATATATATATATATATATATATATATATATATATATATATTAATAGTAAAATTACATATATATCCCTTTATTTTATTATGTGTTAATACTAAGTTCGTTAGCTCGCGAACTTGATTATATATATATTTTTTATTTTAATAGTAAAATTACATATATATTCCTTATATTTTATTATTTGTTAAGAAAAATTATTATTTTTATTTATTTTTTAAAAACAAAATAATTATTTTTTTAAATAAAATAATTATTTTTTATTTTTTTTAAGCTCGAGCTCAAACTTGACATTTTGAACTCATCGAATTAGAGTTCGAGTTCGAATTTCATAAAATTATAATATATATTTTATATATAATTATATATATGTATATAATTACATATTAATTTTTGTAACGAGTGGTAGGACGAGCCCCATTTCTAAACGGGAATCAGGTTTGGGGTTTATCTAAAACCTTCCAAGTTACTAGGGAATTGGAGAACTCCAAATTTTTAAATATGATTCCAAAATCCCAATTCCGATAATAGTAATTCAAACAACAATTATGGAGTTTATTTCAATTCTTCATTTCGAAACTCTCTTACCAAACGTCACCTAAGATAAATGAAGAAATGACAACAAAAGACTTAAAAATTTTAGTTGCGTCACAGCATTTGTAATATTCCTACTTTTTTGCAATTGTGCATGATACTTCTTTTACTTTGGACTATTAAACTTTTTTACTTTAGTAACCTTTTTTTTTTTTTTTTGCTTGTTTAGTTTTGTTAGATTGGTAGCAATTTTTTTTTTTTTTGTCAAATGTCAACTTGTATATATCTGTTAGATTGGTAGCAATTGGCTCTCGCATATGTGGAGTAGTAATCCGTTTTGGTTCTTTTCTTTTTTGTCCATTTTTTTGGGTTAAATGATTTAAGGGCTAATTTTGTTTTCATCTTGTCATGAAAAGTTTTTTCTTTTTCTTTTTTTTTTTGCTTATGTGGAGTAGTAACTCGTTTTTGTTCTTTTTTTCTTGTATTTTTTGGTTAAATGATTTAAGAGTTTTTTTTTTTTGGCTACAAGGGAGGGAGAGAGGGTGGGCTAGGAGGGGGGGAAGGAGAAAAGAGGGAGGATGAGAGAGAGGGTGAGAAAGGGAAAGGCAAAAAACAAATAAAGGAAAAAAGGTGGGGAGTGTGAGGTGCCAGCATGGGCGCCAATGGCAGTTTGGGAAAGGGGAAGGAGAGGGAGGAAAAGAAGATAGAAAAGAAAGGAAACAAGAGGAAAGAAAAATTAAAATAAGAAAGTATTTCACACATTCCCTAAACACTCAAATACACAAAAGTTTTTATACAAATTCTGCAATAAATTGCATTAAAGTTTTATTCAAATTCTCAAAAAACACATCATCTAAGCGAATCCAATTTGCTATTTCTTGCGCCTCTTGGAATTTTCTTTGGAACATCAAAGTCTTAGCATTTTTGTAATTTCTGATTTCTTTAACCTGCAAGAGTGTTTTTAGAATTATTAGAAAGAGTTAATAAAAAGGAAAGTTAAAAGTATTGCAGAGGCAAAAGAAATATTTCTTTTCTATTATTCAGCTTTTCAACGTTTTGGACATGTTGTACCAAATTGCGATTCATTTGCATGGAACAATTGTACTATAAGAAGATATAAACCATACCTTTAAGTTTCAAAATGAACAACTGAGCCAAGCTCAGTGGCCACCAGGGAGAGACTTAAGTCCCTCCTTGTGCTATAGGTGAGAATTCAAACCATACTTAGAGCAAAAAAAATCTAAGAGTTGTGTTATAACACTCCCTTAGTCTAGTTGGATCTGTATATCCACTAGCCCCTAACACAAGCCTCCTTAGGTCTCCCTAGATTATGGTAGAATAGGTTATAAAATTGTATTTGTCGAAAAAAAAATTTAAGTTTCAAAATGTACATTAATGCATCATACCTTCCTTAGGTTCCCCCTCCCCCAACCGAAAAAAAAAAATTTAAGTTTCAAAATGTACATTAATGCATCATACCTTGTTACTTTCGATTGGCATACATTAGTTCAAAGTTTGGTAGGGATACCAAAAAATAATTAAAAAATGAAAAAAAAAGCCAGAAAAAAATAAAAAGGAAAAAAATAAAAGAAAAAATGAAGAAAAAGAAAAATAAGAAAAGAATATCCTTTGTCATAATTAGTATTCCTTTGGGGTTTTATGGGTTTTCCGTGAGTTATTATTATCAATTAGGTAGCTAATGGTTGGAGCATGACTCCTCTTGTTCACAAAAGATATACTTGGTGCTTCAAAGTGTAATTCATTGAATCCTATTTGCAGAGACGTCTTGGGAGTTACCTTCAGTTCGGGATTGTTTAGTGTTGTTCTCCACTAGTTCTAAGATTTGTCTTAAATTTCCAACTATCTTACCTTTGAGCCCTATTACATCCAAAAATTTAAAGTTCTTATGATTGATGTTATGCATGTTTGAGGTAACGAAGAGTTAGATCCTTTTTAAGCTTATGACAGCGCATTTTTATGGAATGAATTTGAGTGATATATTGCCAAACTTATGTGACTTATGCATATGGTTGAGAGGGTGAGATTAACCTGTGAGGTCTATTCTATCACTTAGATTGGTTTTGTGCTTGAATGCATTTATTATGTGAAGAGATTCTTAGTTGTTTAATAGCTTACCTAGTGCTGTACTACAGTTGTTTTGTGAGGGTAGCATGACTTCAATGTTTATGGAAGAGTTGAATTAGTTGTTGGGGTATTGTGCTTAGGTCTTCTAGTTTGAGTTTGCCTGAGGACGCGCAAGAATTTGGTGTGGGGGAGAACCTTCCTCCCTCGTGAAGCAAGCATTTAATCCTGCACAAGGAGCGTAAAAGTGGTATAACAACATACCAGTGGAGGCATAGAAATACCTAGGAGAGAATCAACAATTTCTGCCATTATTTGCTTTTCGTCCACCAGAGCAGAAGTAACTGATGATCTTGATACCACTTTTAAAGCTTTCAAGACACGGACAGAAGGTACAAGGAATTGGTGATTAATAAGCTTAATCTTCGGTTCCAATTGAGAAATTTCAAATTAAACATAATTGCACTTGCGTTTTATACCAGAAAAATGTACACACGACCAAGGTGTTCGGTTATGAAAGCTAAAAATTTAGAATTAGTCAGGAGAACCATCAAGTGCATCTGCTTAACACCTTGCATTGTGGCAAAGCATAGGATATTTCTCTAGAAGTTTAAAATATAGATTACATCTTCGAAGACGGTCTCAGGTAAATCCTCCAACTTCTCCATGACGGAATCAATAGTTGTGTTTAGATCAGGCAGTAATCACCATTTCAGTAAGTGTTGGCCTAACAATCTCACCCCCCATTTCCAAATATCTGCATAAAAAAAAAAACCTATTATCATCCCTCATTTCACTGCGCCCTAAAAGTGACTCCAGATTGCCCATGAATTACACTTCGATGTTCAAATTTGGTTCCTATCTAAATTTCTGACTAGTTTTTTATCATAATCCACTACATGCCTTGCACATGATTATTCCTGAAGGGTAAAATTATCAAATCAAAATTTACATTGTCCAATCCATAGTCCTTTACATTTCACAAAATGAATTTTTTTGTCCTTCACATTTCACAAAATAAAATTTTTCATCCCTCATTGATCATGTGTATGAATAACTTTTTTTTTAAATTCATATATATATATATATATATATATATATCTATATCTATTTGATTTCACTTGAACAATACAAATAGCATGTAATATATCTCTATTTGATTTCGCCTGAACATACTGTTCAGATGAAATTAAATAGATATATACAGGGGTTTAAAAAAATTTGTTATTTTTTCACTCATGTTCTTTTTTTCTTTTACTGGAAAATTAAAAACAAAGAAAACATTTAATCCTAAATATTATCAAGTGTTCATATCGAATTAATTTTTGACAAAAAAATAAAAGAAAAGTATGACAAAAAAAAGTAAGTGATTGACACTTTCAAATTTTAAAACGATTTGTTAGCATGACTATAGAATTCAAATTAGCACTGATTAATTAGATGGTCTTATTACACAACTCAATAAATGAATTATTACCAAAAGAAAAAAAAATACAAATATTGAATAGATATACATATATATATATATATATATATATATATATATACAGGTTTAAAACAAAATTGTTAGATTTAAACCCATATACATATACATATATATTGAATAATATGTGTACAACTATAATTAGTTTGTTTAGGTGAAATCAAATAGAGATATATTACATGCTATTCATACTGTTCAAGTGAAATCAAATAAATATATATTTGGATTAAAAAAAAACTATTCGTACACATGGTCAATGAGGGATGAAAAAATTTATTTTGTGAAATGTGAAGGGCAAAACAATTCATTTTGTGAAACGTAAAGAACTATAGATTGGATTATGTAAATTTTGATTTGATAATTTTACCCCTAAAAATGATCTTTCGGCCAAAAACTAGTCGAAAAGCTAGATAAGGACCAAATTTAACCAATGTGAATTTGTAAGTGACGTAAAATTACACTTTTAAAAGTGAGAGATGAAAAAAGTCATTTTATAAAATGTGAAAAACGTTTTGAATGATTTTCCCAAATTAAAACC